TTTATATATTATTTGATCAATTTGACCAATTTGACCAATACTAAACTTTTTGACCAACTGGTCAAATTGGTCAAACTAGTCTGGTCAAGCTTGACCATTGATTGGTCCATGCCAATCCTGATGATAATATATCCAATTGTGAAGCAACTAACTCATCATTTAGAGGTGTTGCTATGGTGCTACTTAAATATGTAATTCATGTAATAACTACAATAATAAAAACTATTACATAATAAGATTGATAAATTAATAAAGTTAAATATAGAGATATAAATAAAGATGTCATATTTTAATACTTTATTATTAATTCAAGATATCTATTCTGCTTTGGTATAGCATCTTCAGTTAACTCAGAATATGACAGAACATATATCTATAAATATTCAATGAATCAATACCAAAAAGTTTGTAATGCTTTTAGTTATAGCTATATGCTAAATACAGAAAACTCTAAATATCCAAAAGCAAATCTAGTTATAGAATGTAATAAGAAATAGAAAAAAAAAGTTCATAATAAGTTCAAAAAAGAAATTGAAGCCATAATTGATGAATATCTGAAGCCAGTATTCTAAATTCATCACTATCTAAGTTAATTAAAGAAATTGTCATTGTTGATACTCTTCCTCCTAATGCTATAGCATAAAGACAAGCTGCAAATGCTATAAATAAAGCCAACAAAAAACTTGCTAAATGTCAACAAATATATAATACTATGACTGATCTGAAGATTCAAAAAAATCTATTAGAACATATTGCAACTCTTAAACAAATGTTAAATATAGAAAATAAATGAATAACAAAATTGAAATGTTAGCCAGATTATACATATAAATCTGCTGAAAAAAAGGCAAAACTTTTACAAGAATAGCAAATAATTGAAAAATATAATTCTTCAAGTAAAAATATATAAAGTTAATATATGAGTTCCACAAAGTTAAATTATACAAATTTTATTAGAGAAGATGTATTATATTACTAAAGGTCATTAATTAGAAATAAGATTTACATTCAACCAATAGTAACTTGAAGAAAATTAGTGGACCTGATAAGCACAGGTTTTCATGCATGCTCCTTTATAATTTGCATATTTTAACTTTGCAACATTTATATACAGTTATCTTCTTTTTAAACTAGCTTTTAGAAGTTAAATATATAAATATTGCTTAATATATATATTTATAGTTCAAATATAATACTATTTTAGGTCAATCATTATTTATGTTTAAATATCTAAACTTATATGAACACATTCATGAATGTGTTGAATTTGGTAGTGCAGATAAAATCAATAATTATATGCTACCATGTTAATCTAATTCAATAGTGGCAAAATCTCATCACTATTCAGGAAATATCAGCATTTTTTTTGTTATATAAAATAAGAAAAAAAATCATCCAGATACACATTATTGTTTTGCATCTGTGAAGGAGACAAATTAATTTGCAATAAGATTCTCTACTTATTCTGTAATTATTTCTTAAGATGATAAGGCCAAGATTCCTTTTGGTATTCCTACTGTTGGAAAAACTTTTTAAGCTGTTCAGAGTCTTAAAGAATCTGTTATGTTGCCAGATTATGATTTTTCAATTGTCATATATTATAAACTAATTCTGTTGATTTATATGTTTATGAATCCAAAGAATAATAACAATACTCTATATAATAGGCAACTTGCAATTTTTATTCGTTCTCAATACCATAGTGGTACAAGCTTAGCTTTGCATATGAAAGATTTAAAATTATTAACTCAGAATAATCACCTCAATGAAATATTAAAACTTGAGAATATTATTAAATCAATCTGGGTTCTTTTGGTGGATGGAGGTCTAGATAAGAACCTATGACATATGAAGAATATTATTCAATATAGTAAAATGTTTCATGTATTTGATTTAGATTATTTGACAGTTCGAACATATGCACCTTATCATTCAGCCTACAATTCTGTTGAACATAGTATGTTTGATGAGATTTTAATAATAATTATTATATCAATAAGTTAATAAATTATTTAAAGACATATACAGTCTAAACTTTAATATAATTAATCTTGATAAAGTTGCAAGTTGTAAAAAAAATTTTTGCTTAACAATTACCTTAGTTACTGTAGGATATAGGCTAAAGTACCCAGCATGACAAATAGAGTTGATCAATTTTTAAAGTGCTATTATATATGCATATGATATACAATATGTGGAATTTTTTATATAACTGACAAAAAAATCACATTTTCATGCTATATAATCTATTGAATTTTGGTTACCAATATTACTAACTAATAATTATATCAAGGTCTAACTATAATAACTAATTAATTAGAATTTTTGTTATCAAAAAGATCTTTACAAACTATAATATGCATAGTCCTAAAGGACCATTTTATTAATATCTTCAATTTACAAAATTTTTTTAATTAATATTTTTTAGGTATATTAATATTTTTACAGAAGCTTGCAGGAATTGTTTTGCCAGCTGATAAATATGGTTTTCATCTAAATTCTCAAGGTGAAGTAATTGATCAAGAGCTCACTAAAAAAAATTTTAAATATGCAAGTGAAGTTTTATGTGATCTATGGAATTGGGATCTTATTTTTGGATGACAAGTTATAACAAAGTATACAAACCAAAGAGCCTTTCTATTTAATGATGTCATATTTTTAGAATCTAACAATAATAATACTAATGAACCTACATGGAGATGGCTAAAAAACTATACTAAAATATATTAATATTCTATTAACATTAGAAAATGTGATGACATTCAATGTTGTACACCTAAATATTATAAAGATGCTGCTAATCTTTTTGCAATAAACAATAGCTTTCTTCTTTCAGTCATAAAAGAAAATGATGGAGATTATTTAAATTTGCTTTATATATTGGAGTTTTATAATATAGACAAATTACCTAGTTATAATATGCACTGTCCCTTTTTAATAAATTATAGTAATCTTTGTTGCTCAATTTGTGGTGCATATTTCTTAACAGGTTCAATAGTTACTTAATATATAAGAAATCAACATCCAAAATAACAGGAATGATCATCTAAAAAATAATTACATAGTTGTTTTTTACCTCTGCTAAAGTATGCATATCTGCCAATTTAAGTATAAATAAATATTATTATTAAATTTTCTGCCTTAATTTTTTTGCAACTTTTTTTATAATAGTCAATATAATTTTTTGTTCTTTTTATTTCTAAATATTTATACTTGAAATTCTACTCCTTGGAAATTCTTGTTAGATCTCTTAAAATTTTTGTAATACTGTAATTAAGCTCTATAGTGTATTACCAGCTGTCATAGTATAGTATCAGTATCCTTTTTGGATCAACAAGATTAGTAAAATCGATAAATTAGTTAAAATTAAATAAAATAGTTTGAAAAAGAAAAATAAAAACTTTTAAAAGTAATATTAAAAGTATCCAGTAATCATTTACCTTTTAACTTAACCCAAGTTCATATTTTGTTACATTTTCTTGTTTTATAACTATTATAAACACTATTTTTTTTGTATCGAATAAGAGAAAAAGAGTGTATTTAATAGTAATCAGGCCCTTATATATTAAAATCTAACCCTGATTAAATTCATAATTACCTCACTAAATAAACTCTATACTCATAACTAACCTGAATTATAACTCATAACCATATGATGCCATGAACTAAATTCATAATTGTAGAATTAATTAGAAAAATCAATATTACAATAGTATGCACTATATTATTGTCATAATTCTGTAGTGCTTATTGAAAAATTAGGTATAACACAATACAATTAGTAAAGTTTTAAACAACTATTCATTTTGTTAAAAATAGCATATTTCTCGAAAACCCATATACAAAACCACTTGAAGTATTTTAAGAAAAAGTTTTTCTTAAGCTATTCTACTATATAAATATTTAGTCTTTTAAGTTTATTCTAAACACTAACCCTACTGTTAATAAACTTTAAAAAATTTTGTTATAACAAAACTTAGCACAACAAAATTGTTCAGACATATTCTCAATTTGATTGATTAAAAGAGACAATTAAAAATTTGGCCAGAATTACTTAAAAATTTAGTAATAAAATTACAGCTGCCCATTAAATGAAAATTGTTCCTGGGCTATTTTTTTTGAAAAATTCTATTTGAGTTAAAAGGTTAATTCCGACCAGAAATTAGTAAACAATTGTGTAATGCAGGCCAAAATTTTGCAGATTTACATTTGTTAATGAGGATCTGATAGGACAATTTTGTTGTAACAATTACAAAATTTTTTATGTCACAAACATTTGATACTATGGCATTACAGCAATAAGGTACTGTGCTGTAATTAATTCTACTTTGCTTTTTTATTTATAGTAAGCACAAAAAGTTATACATTTGATAAACTTGATATTTTTATACTTAATTGATTGTAAAAAAATATTTTTTATTTTGTAGCACTCATCTAAACATAACTTTAAAAACATGATTAGACAGATTTGAATAAATATAGCTACTAATTTGGGCATGTAATTTTTATATAGAATTTAAAGTATCTAGAACTATGATCTGGCATAATATCTATATAATTTAACTTATAATCTTATATAATTTGTATTTAAAAAAATTTTTATTGATCAATTGGCATTATACAGACTATGTTACATGAATCTTGTTATTAAGTCAGCCTATATTATACTCTAATGCTGACCAATTCCAGATAGGATTATATAAATAATGTTGGCTAAACTATCATATACCTAATACACTTTCAGCTTTAAATTTAGTAAGGTCTATATTTTGGAATAAGTAGCTGTTCAACATTGTTAACATCTATGCAGACACTATTTTATTCATGAAAAACCATATTCTTTATTGCAATGCATTTTTGATATAAGAAAATAACTCTTTATAAAAGAAGTTGATAGTACTTGCAATCTGAATATTAGTTTAAATTTCAGTGACTGAGCCTAAAAACCTATTAATGAAGTCAATGTCTGACTGATATATAGTTAATTAGCTAGCATCACTCAGTTCTGATTAATCTGATCCAAGATTCTAGTATTCTGCAAAAAATATTAAAATCTAATCTGTCTGATAAAAATTTTGATGAAAAAAATGAAAATTATTAAATATTTAGCATTGAGAACTTTAAATTTACATTGGATCACTAATTATTGTATCAAAAAAATTATTTTTACTATTGTTTATTATTGTATCTTTGATTTTACAGATGCATATGCTCATTTATATATATTTTTTTTTACTAAACCACAAATAAGTTATACAGACCAATCAATTTCAAGACTTTTTGTACAGAGACATTCATTTCTGGTACCTACCTTTTAAAGTATTGTCATAAAGGATAACTTAATTATATGTTAAGAATTGTACACATCATTTTACTCTTAAGTAAACCATATTCTATGTATTTCATACTTCATTTCTGATATATATACTTATAATATTCTGATATTAAAATTTGATTGATTAAAAAATAGAATTTTTTTAAGCTTAATCTCTAGATTCATATAATTTTAAGTTTGCAGTATGCATAATTTAACAAAGCTGAATCATAATTCTGAACTCATAAGCAGAAGTTTGTCTGATTGGCTAATAAATTAAATTTAACTTTACATTATTTATACAGTTTAGAGTACTTTTTATAACAATAAAAACTAATCATAATAGAAAAAAAAACTATATAGATAGTTTCATTAAAGCTATAGAACTTTATAGTTTATAACCAAAATAAGATCTAATACTTGTTTATTTAAAAAAGTTAGTATAGTAATAATTTTTCAAAATCTGATAAAATTAATTTATTATCAAGCTAATTTTTTTAAACAGATGAGAATTAAATCTTATTTTTGACTATGAAATTCTACAGCTCTAATAAATCTTTTATATAGTTTTTTTTTATGTTATTATAGTTGATTTTCATTTTTTTAAAAAAGTACTCCAGACTTTATATATAAATAATGTAAAATTAAATTGAATTTATTAGTCAATTAAGTGTCCAGAGACTTTTTCAGAATATTTCTTTAAGTCATGTGACTGGCCTAGAATTCTTCCAAAGTTACATGACTGGTTATATGACTTTGAAAAATAACTTATAATTGCACCATACTAGCTAAGCCTCATGATGTAATTTTTGCATAATTTGCCACACTAGTTAAGCTATATTATATAATTTTTGTATAATTTTTGTATTATCAAATGACTAACTCTAGGTAGGTCTAATAAAAATTCTAGAACAGATATAATAAGCTAATAAGTGTCAGTCTTCTTAGATATATCAGTTTTTTTAGAATCTGTAAACTTGGTTTTAGAAAGAATCAAAATAGTATTAGAAGCAAAAGGAAAGCATTGCAAATATTAATTAGCTAAAAAAAAATATATATAGTATATTGTAAAAATAAAAAAAAATTATATATATAATTTTAATTTTATTTAAAAATAGAAGCAGTATTTTAAAATTATATATAAACCCAATAGTAAATTTTTTTTTTAATATTAATAGTAAGGCCATGCCTCTATCTTTATTGAATATTTAATTAAAATTTTATATAAAATACAATTCTGCTTTTAAAATATTATAAAAAGAATAGAAGTTTAGACTAATTTATCTGCAATCTAAACTAACCAGAGTGGTCAAGATCTAATAGTAAATTTTTTATATATTTAATTTATAAAAAATTATATAAAATAAGAATTTTATAATTTATTGCTATAGCATTATATTGCTAGTTCCTATAAGTTATGTGACCATAGTAATAGTATATGGGATCAGCAGTTTGTATTATATAGGATCAGCAGTTTGTATTATATAGATCAGCAGTTTGTATTACATAAGATCGGCAGTTTGTATTACATAGATCAGTGATTTGTATTGCATTAATATACAGTAATTATATATATATTTGTATCACATTATTTAATTGTTAACATTATTCAAAAGATCAAGTTAAAGATAGAAGTTAGCATATACTGCTATGTTGTAACAGCTGGTTTGGAAGAGTGATGCATAATAAATGCACAATGTAGTACTAACTACTAGAAGAAACTAATAATAATGATAAGAAAATTGTAACAATGATACTTTACAATAAAAGAGAAAATAGATACTTCGCTTTTTCAATACAAAAGATACATGTTCTAGAACCTACTCTATTATATCAGAGGCATATGCTATATTAATTAGTGATGTAAACCAAACCTGAATAGAACAATTTGCAACTTTACCTAATTTGGGTTTAGATAAGAGAAAACATCGATATTACATAACTGATCTTTCATCTGATGTAAACTATATAAAAAAATTAATTTACAATACTGCTAGTACAATAAAATAGAGTTAAATTATAATTATAATATGCACTAGTGAAATGATTTGGTATTGTAAAATGATTTTTTTATATGGTTCATACCAGGTAAAAGATCAGTTATGTAATATTGACAGTTTCTCCTGTTGGATTAACTATTATATAGCACATATGATAATGCAAGGATTAAAATATACTGTACATAAATTTGGGTGAGAACTAACTAACTATAATACTATTGTCAAACCTAGAAAAACCTTTTTGTTTACATTGCTAATATATATTAATTCGTTAATATATACACTGCCTCAATAAACAAAAAGAACCATCAATGTTATATGACTGATTATTCACCCGGTGTGAATCAGATAAAAAAATAATTTTACAATACCAGATTATTCTGCTAGTACATGTTATAATTATAATCCAACATCATTTTTATTATAATAAAATAAGTGTTGGATTATAATCATAACATGTACTAGTAGAATGATCTGGTATTGTAAAATAATTTTTTATATAGTTCACATCAAATAAAAGATTGGTCATGAAATATTGACAGTTCCTTCTGTTGCCTCAATATAGTAGACTTTAACAATTACAATTCCTTAAAATTACTAATTGTATATACATACATTCTTATATAAGAGATTAATTTATTTAATGCAACTAACAATTTCAAGCCAATTAAAGTATAACAATTAATACAGCAACATAATTACTATATAATAGGTATTTACTACATATATAAAATTGGATACTCTAAATAAAGCTAAAAAACTACAAAATATTAAATAAAACACATATACTAATAAATGAATAAAATAAGACTATACAGTGTATTCACTATTGATAACAATTTTAAACCTATACAAATAATATTTTGTTAGCTTTCAATTATATAATTAGATTAACATTTTATATCAACAAAATTAAGTACCTTGCAATTCTTCTGGTAATGGCCTAAACCATCACATTTCTTACATTGACATTAATTTGCCATAGGTTTTGATACTTTATGTGCTGATTTTAAGCATTTGGTACCTTTGGGATGACCTCTACCACAGTGTATTTTTGGGGTTTGTATATAAAGAATCATAGGATCACTATTTTTTTTTTCATCATCCAGACTATCAATTTCTTGTGAATCATCTAATTTATATTGCTTGTCATTATCATCTTCAACAAAATTTTCAAGTAATTTGATTAAATATTGTGATTTTGTTTTATTTTGTAATGCTTTATGAAGGGCCTTTTTGTATATGCCATGAATATTTCCATACATCATTTTTTGTTCAAGAGTTGTCAAATTTTCTGCTTGGAAATTAGACTTTTCTTGTTTAAGATACAAATACAGAACCAGAAAATTAAGTACTTTTGGTACTTCTATAAAAAACTTGTCTACCACTATAAATGGCTCTTCTGCACCAATTTCTTTTGTACTGTACTAATGTAAAGGCAGCATCTAAATGTGAAACTTAGCATTATTTGTACTTAGCATCACCTGAAAGTAATGCCAACATACTATATTACATCATATAATAGATAAACAAGAATACAGATATGACTAATTCTTTAATAGCAAAACATAATACTTTATTTTTGTTGAATTTTTGGCACAAATAGTCTAAGTCTTTTAGATATTGTTCAAGCTGGCAAATTCAATCAGTTGATTAAAACTAGTTTGTATATCATTACTGTCAAATTCTTCATGAGAATCGTTAGAATCATCATTCTATTAAAAACAACCTTAATATACTACACCATATTTATTCAAACAAAATAAATAATTAGACCCTCACTTTACTAGAATGCATTATATCCTTAATTATATTCGACATATAATAAACTGACTAGTTAATTTTGTTACATTGCATTTGTAAAATAGTTGACATAAGAAACTTTTAAATACACTTGTCAATATTAGTAAACAAAAAGTTTACTTTATTCTGATTTTTCACGTTTAGAATCAAGAGCTTCCAAAATTTATATTTGTTCTCTCTATTCTGAATATCTAATAACCTAGTAATCTCAGTTAAAAGGTTATATAAAGAGACATTTGAACTATGTAATAAGCATTTCAGGCATGCATTTACTGATTTAACTCATGATGTAGCAATCATTCCTCTAGTAAATTTGAAATATGTAAAACAATGGGTCCAATAGGCTTTTGATTTAAAAAGGAACTCTAAATAACTTTTGGCACTAGGATAATCTTAAGTAAGTTTATTAAACTGTTAATGAAAAAAAAATTTAAAAAAACTGTTATAGCAAATATAAAAGTCTTTAAGAAAGTTTTGATATGCATCATCTAACAGCTTTTTGAGATTTTTATATAGGTTTTGTGTTAAATGATAAGCACAATAAATCAAATATGTCATAGTAAATACTTGATAAATTATAGCATCAACTGCTGGATCGGCATTAATAAGAATAACAGCTGGATAAATATTTGTGACTTTAATGATTTTTGTAAAAGTTCACTTATGTGAGCCAATACTTTTATCACAAAGAAGTACTTGTGCTAATAAAATATTTTTGTGATTACTGTCAAACCCAACAAACAATGCCAATGCCATTCTGTAACAATTAGTCTTGTGAGTAACATCATGTAAAATACAGTCTGAGTATTGAATCCAATTTTCGACTTGACCTGGCATCATTCATAGTAAATGTGTTAAGATATTGTCTTCATCAAACTTATATATAACAACCCAACAAGAATCTGTATCTTTTTTTTGATCAAGCCAGTTGAAAACCTATAAAGTAATACATCAATCAAACCAATCAAATCAATAAAACCTAATTTATATCATTTGCTTATATAATAATAGACTAGATCATACCTTTGTCACATCATTAAGCAATGATTTGTTAATAGGATGAAATTTTTGGATTACAGAATACAGGTCTTTTGAGCATATTGTTCATGTCGGATACTTGCTTTTTAGGAACTTTCTTTGTACAATTGCTCTAAATTTGTAATTTTCAGTCATAAATTTTACATCTGCCAGCATTTCGGCAGTAAATTGTTTTTCATCTTCGAATATAACTCTGCTTTTGTTCAATAAATGGTTATAAGTATTAACTATTTTGTTAATAAATATGGAATGTTCTATATTGTTAATTTTAGAACATGAGGCATTAACAAAATAAAAATATTGTGTCTTTTTAGTAACTGCATCTTTTTCAGTATTTGATTCGTAAAATCTGTTATGATCATATAAATAAGTTCTTTGACAAAAAACTCTATTTTCCTGAGTAATGTGACTTTTAATAAAATAAAATCCTTTATTCTTTACCTATTCATTGAGGAAAAACTCACATTCATCCTATGTACCAAATTTTTTTTCAAAAAATAAGGATGATGATTCTATTTCATTTTGTGATAGCATATTATTATAGCACTCTATTCATAACAAAATAAAAAATATTAACATGTTAACATTATGTTTAACAATGTCCTTATTATCTATAACAAACTCTTAACAAACCTATTTCAAATTCAGAATCTATGGCTTCTTTATTCATAAAATTATTTGATGCTTTATCCGTAAAATTTTCTTGCTCTTTATTCTCTTTATTTATAACAAAGAAATCTTCTAGTTTTTTATTTATAGTCAAAAAATTATCTTGGTTTTTATTCATAGCAAAACATAAACAACAACCTAAAAAAAAACTAGTTTGTAATATCAGGTAAACTTGAGTTAGTTTTAATCTAATAAATATGTCTCTCAAGAAATCAAGACTTTAGTTTAAAATTATCATGCTTATCTAAGAAGTACTTGTATTATCAAATATGCCTGCTAAAATAAATATCAAAAAAAGGTTATTAAAATCAGATGTTCTTAATTCAGATTCTAATAAAAATTCTAATATTAATGCTGCAAATATAATAGGCAATAAAGATCTTTCCTCAAGTGGCAAGTCTAAGGTTCAATTCCCACAGATGACAAATTTTGGAAATTATACCTGTATTACAATAACTGTCTCTTGCCGATTGGTTGGGTTTTGGGCATCTGTAATTTTAGGTACACCAAGTCAGGCCCCACCTAACATTGGAAGCTCAGAGCATTTATGTGAAGTGTAATGTTACATAGTACATGTACATAGAGGAATGTAAAACCGGTGTCATATAAGGCTTCGGGCAAACCCATAATAAGACCACCAGGCGTAGAAGGCTAAGAAACTGAAGAGACAAAAACTCACTTGGAAATCCCGAGTAAAGAGGTAGCACAAACTTTCGATGGTGCTATTGGACTAACGGAAGCTCATGAAACACCTTCATAGAAACTGTCGGATAAACCGAATGACAAAGATGTATAGAGGAGCACATGACCAACTAGGCTGCCAGAATCACCGGAGGAAAAGGATATATAAGTATACCATACTGGGCCATCTGGATTGAGAGTCTGGGGAAGTTCGTTGTTGGTTCCAAGTTGCAGCTAGTAGGAGATAATGGAGAAGAAGTC